AAATAATATATTTTGAAAAACGTTTGGAATCCACTTGTTATTGGAATTGTTGGCGCCAACGGATCACCAGACCGAAATTCTATTAAATCTAAAGAAAGCTGTCAAAGGTAAACACTCTGTGAACTAATAAGCTGTGGACCTTCTGAAGCTAACATTGTTTTATGAGCTTGTTTTAAAAGATTGGTTGAGTTGAACATTGAAATACTAAAAACATTACGGAAGTAACTTCTTTAAAAAAAGTTATGAACTTAGTCATGTAAATACTTCATTAACTGACTCACATGCTGAAGTTATCCGAGAAAAAATTCATTTTTAACCTTAAGCATTGTCAATGGAGTAGAATGGTTTGGGAACTCCATAGAATAAAGGTACAGTGGAACTCCTTTTTACGGCCACCCGCTTAATACGGCCACCCAGTTTTTGCGGTCACCTCTTTTGGGTCCCGACGAAATGCCCATGCATGTACTGTAAAATGTACCTGCTTAATGCGACCACCCGTTAACACAGCCAATAGCCGCTTTTTTGTTGCCTGATTGACAAACTTCAGTACTTTTTAACCCCGTATTACGGCCAGGACAAATCGGTTACAGTTTAGATCTTGATGTAAATACTGTAATGTTATTGCTGCAAAATCTGTAATTCTTTTATTCATTTGGTTAACATTCTACAGTAATACTTTTTGTAGAATCAACACAACAATTTCAAACAGAGAAACACGTACAGCGCRRTGCGCTAAATTATGTCCGCATTTATTTTATAGTGGTACAGTATTTAAAACGAGCCATGCCGATAGCCTGTCTGGGACGATATCCAGTCTCGAGTCAGTATGGCCTTACGGAAGCTTTATTCGTCTTTACAGAGCAAAGTCATTGCCTATTTTTAGAAGTAGTTGTTACTGTACTCAGTTTTCTCTGTTCTACTGTTATATCTACATTCCTGTACTACTGTATAATTTAAAGTTTTAAAGTACTACTAAAGTTGAGTTATAACTGAGCTCCAATAGCATCAGAAGTTATTTAAAAATACACACGCAATATTTCACTTAATTTGTTTAGTAGTTTCGTACTGATTAATAAAACACGTTTTTGACATATTTTTGACAGCCCGCTTAATACGGCCACCCGTTAATACGGCCACTTTGAATGCCCCTTCGGTGGCCTGATTAACGGGGTTCCACTGTATTGTTTTGCGTTTGAGGTTAAGGTTGAACCGTACCATCACGTGATACTGACCGTGCACAACGAACCAAAGCAAGTATAGCTGAAAATACTCATTTCCTTATTATTTTCATGTATGAACATTTTGAAAGTGAAAACTTTTATCCGATGACCACAAACCATGCGGATAAATACTTCCGCGCAGATACAGTTAAGTTACTAGATGATAAATAAGAAAGCATGAAAAAAGGCAATTTCCTTTTCAATAAACAATTAATAATATCATATAGGATTAATTAACAAATTATAACTATCTGAAAACGATTTTTAGGGGAAAATTCTATGTCCCCTAATGGTATAAACAAAGTATAGAGCCAYTTTTCCTTCTCTGTGCAAGGTAAACGTCATATTACAATGGATAAAGTCAAACCAAAACCTAGAACAATGAGTTTCCCAACCATTTTGCTCCATTAACTGAACTATGCCTTAGATAATTAAATTCTAAGGCACCTGAACTRCTCACAACTAAGTACAAGAGTAAACGCGTCGAAAGAGCTTAAAAATTAAAAATAGAAAATAAAGCAAACGACATAAAACGCAAGCAAAAAAAGTTAATACATATGTTCTAGC